CTGGTCTGCAGAATTTTAAGAAGATTGGGGGGAGAAAATCAAAAAATTAGTTTTAAGATAGAATGTCATCACAGTTATTCACACAAATATTAAGAAATTTCCGAACGAAAAATAGTTGTCTCTTAAACTCACATTGCTACAGAAGCCGGAGTGGGAGGGGAAGTTGAAGGCTGTGTTGATGAAGTAGGTATCGACTTGGCCTAAATCAATGCCAAAGTAAGATCACTCAACAAACAGAAAACAAATATGCTATTAAGGAACATGTGAAACTTTCGTTTCCTTAGTTGCAGAGGCTAGTGTTTCGGCATCTCAGCGTTTATGATGATCCTATAAAAGCAGTACCTACTCACCTGCGCAGTAGGGCCAGCAGATGCACTAGACGCTCCAGTTGAAGCAGGTTTACTCTACATGTTTATCCCCAGAGAGCATAAGTCAAAATCAGGTAATCAAAGAGCAAAACAAAAAAAAAACAACACTAATACTTTTGCTTTCCTCAAACTCACCTTGGTCATCATAATTACAATGAAACTGTTCTCAGCAACTTTGTTCTCCTCAATTGTGGTCTCATCTTTAAGCACTTTCCCTTGGTGAATAAGCATCTGTTTCGCAGCAGGATATACATCTGCTCCCTGCACAGTCTCTATGTTCTTCTTCACATCAGCAACCTGAAATGTTAACATTTTACAAGAATAAGTTCAAGAAAATAGTCCAAATCATGGACCACTAATTTTCTTCATATACATCTACGACCAAGAACTAGCAACCGCACATATGATCATCAGAAATGCAATCAAGGTTAAACAACTCTCAGTTCAGTGAAGAAATGTCAAAACAAAACACATCATACACAAAGATTACTGAATTATATCAATTCTCTCTAGCAACCGCTAAATAACAACAATTCACTCGCAGGAACTAACTCTCAGATAAGAATGTAATCGACAGAGAAAACCCGACCAAATCATAGACTCAAAGACGAAATTATCCCGCTAAACGAACACGTAACTCGATCCAAAAACTGCCATGGAAACAGAATTCAACCATCTCAAGTAACAAAGCAAGCTATCACAAGAAATTCACATACCGAATCCTCGGGTTTTACTTCGATCTCGAAGTGGATCCCCTTGAGAGTTTTCACAAATATCTTCATCTTCTCTTTCTCCGGTAAAATTCCCGTTCCAGTGACCGATTTCCCCGGCGAAATTCCGTTCGGATCGATCCCCGGCGGCGATAACTTCGGAAATTTGAGAAAAGCGAGTGAGTAGGTGAAGAAGATTACAGAATCTGGCCCCTACCTATGCGTTCCCTCAATATCTTCACCGGATTATGGCACGAAGCACATGGGTTGTATTTTTTTACTCTGCCAGGTCAGCCGTCTTTAAACCAATTAACATATGCCACGTGTGTAAACAGTTTGCTGATTAAATCGTCAAACGATAGGCCCATAATATTTCTAAAGTGAAGAAGACAGGCCCAATGATATGCTCTGAAGTATAGAATCCACCAACAATAGCTACTTTTGGTTTTTTTAAGTTATGTAAACCTTTTGTTATTTGTATAATGATACAAAATCGGATGATTATTATAATAATGTTTTAGCCACTTATGAATTTATCTCTGTAAAATAAGTTTGTACATACTCTATTCTTTGGTTCTTTTTAGTCAAGATCAAAAGGAAAACTGAAAATTAAAGGAGGAAAATATAGAGAAGGAAAAAATATAAAAAGTTAACGGCTCGGCTTGATAATGAACAGAGCCGAGCCGAAAGGAGCTGGTACGGGCAAAACTTCTAAAGAGTTAATAAAAAGATCTCAGAGCATCAGCTCAGTCTTACACTTGCTCTCCTTCTCACACGTGGCAAACACGCCGATCTTTCTCTTCTTAACAGGCACCACGTCATACGCACGTGACACCGGCTCGAGCCCTAAAGTTAAGTCAAGCTTGATCTCGCCGAAGGAGCCCTGGCCGGCCGGCGGCGAGAATGCCATGACCTCCGAGACAGTGCTCTTCGATTCCTTGCTATCTCCTTCATGAGCAGCAGCCACAATTTCAGACTGGTGACTCAACGACGACTCATGACTAGCCTCTCCGTCACCGGATTTTCCCTCCGATTCCGCCGGTTTCGCGAAAGCGGAGACACGTTTAGTCCGGCGAGTTTTCGCACGTTTCAGATCGGTTAACCCGGTCACCTTTGCGGCGGAGTTCTCATCCTTAGAGTTATGTCGGATGTCGTAGATCTTAAGCGGCGGTCCTTGGCCGTTCGTCGCCGCGTCTGTGGCGATTTCTTTGATCGGTTCACCTTTCATCACCGCTTCAACGGCGGCTTGACAAAGCTGCCAATTTCCCGACCATAACAAACCCACCGAACCATAGATCGGATTCACAATCCTCCCACAAGCTTCGTGCAACAACGATCGGAAAATCCCTGCAAAACAAAATCACACACAAAATCCCACTGAAACGACGTCGTAACCAAATAACCTAACACGATGCGGCAAAACGACGGAGTTTTCACGTTTTTTCCCCCTCACAAAAAACGGCGTCGTATGAAATGACCTAACACATAAAACGGCGACGTTTACTAACCAGGACGAAGATGATCAGGACCGGCGTTGATGAGGTTCATAAGTCCGGCACGACCATAGAACTTAGCGAGAAACACGGTTGCGTTTGCTTGCGCTTCAGGCGATTTGATCCAAGCCAAACACGGTCTTATACTACAATCCTCACTACACCCTTTTCGAAGAACTCTGCATCCATTACAGCTCACCCGCATCTTTTTGTCGGCTAGATTTCGATTTCCTTACAGTATCCAAACTGATCGAACAATACAGTAACCCAAAAAGAAAATTTTAAAAAATAAAAGAAAACGGATTTGATGAAAAATACTGGTCTCTGGTTCGATATATTTTTGGAGATTTTGTGGGAAGTGGTAATGGATATTCACTAATATATAAGAAATATTGTAACTTTAAAGGTATTGATGTGTGTTTAGAAGCCCCTGGGTTTTTGGGAGGTGAATAAAACCAAGGGAAGAATAGAGAGAAAGACAAAGAAAATAAGATAAGAAGAGACGTTTTTTTCTAAAGTGAGGGTTGTTTCTGTCTTTTTATCACTTATTTTTTCCCCTAGAAACGCCGCCGGTTTTTTTTGCCCTGATTCAAGGTTTTGCTTCTTGGGTTTCTTTCCCAAGTTTTGTATTCATTCCCACTCTCAACCTCACGCGCGTGACCTACACGTGTAACAACTTTTAGTATTGGTGAATAAATAAACTTATTTAAAATTTGGATTTATTACAATTTAATTCGCTGATAAAACATTTGGATATTATTACCAGAAAAAAAAAAAAAAAGATATTTGGATAGCTAATGTAGGTGGCTTATGAAATAATATTTTGATTATTTATCTATTTGTTAAATTGTGTATGGAACTAACAATTTGTCTTGTTTTTTCCGCCTAAAAAAAGTACTCCTATTTTTTAATATATGATATTTTAAAAGTTTTTTTTGTTTATTAATATAAGATGTTTTTATTTATCAATATATTATTAATTGATTTTTTAATATTTTTAATTTTTTAAATTATGCAGATTGATTTATTATTAGTGAAAAATGTTTTGGATAAATAAAAAGTGATATTTTATTT